GAGGAGTGGAGCGGGGCCCCACACAGATGCAGGTGCCGCCGTGGCCATCCTCCCCTGGCGTGGTGAGGGGTGATCCCCGGGAGCCCCCCAGCTCCCGAGCCCCCCTCCCCCCGTCCCCAGGGTCTTGAGGCCTTCGCTCCAGGGAGGCCTCTGGGCAGCGTGGGCCTGTGGGTTTGCCCGGCCCGAAATGACAGTGTGACAGCGTCTCAGGAATACTGTGCTATGGGTGGGCTGTCCTCTGGGCTCACCTGCGGGCCGGGGTCAAGCTTCGCCAGGCTCTGGGAGGAAGCAGCCACAAAGCTCCTGCCGTCACCCACTGCAGGCTCTGCCGTGTTGCTCCTCGGGGCACCCGGGCCCCATGGGCTGCTCCGGGCCCAGGCCCTCACAGCCTCCACGTGTCTCTGTGTTGGAGGAGGGCTCCCAGGGTGCACAGCCCTGGGGTGCAGCCATGCCTTGGGTTCTAGTAGCCTCGTCAAATTGTCTGTGGGTACAGCTGGTGCCAGTGACTACGCCCGGAATCTCAGCTATGCTGGAGGGTAAGATTTGAGGACCCTGGTTAGAAGCTCAGGCAGACACATCCTAGAGACTCGGACCTTTCATTAGCTGGCCAAAAGCCAGAGCAGAGATGTAGCTAAGGGGTAGAGCACCAGTCTTGAGCAAAGAAAGACGTGTGTGGACCTGAGTTCAACTATCTGGTTTATAGAAAGCTGGTGTCCCTCTTCCAAATGAGCTGCTGGTGGGAACTGTCCCACAGAACCGGTCACTCCACCACGGCTGAGGACAGGGGCGGGGCGGGGAGGGGGATGGGGCTTGGGGCGGGGAAGGCCCCCAGGGCAGGGAGGGCATGCCTACTGGGCTCACAGTCAACACTGTCCCTGCTCGAATGTCTGACCTGACAGCTGTGGCACGTGATGTTGGTCCAGGCCCTGACGCCGGAGGGTGGACCCGAAGGCTCTTCAGCCCTCGGAGGCTGGGGAACTGCTGGCCAGCTAGCCTGCTGGCCTTGTTTTACAAGCACAGTGTCTGGGCCTGGGGCTCTGCATATCTTTGGTCTGTTCCCATAGCCAAGGCCAGAAATAACAAACAGACCTCTTCTAGTACTTTCCACGTGTTGGTACAGGGCACAGGCACATATGGCTCCAGCGAGAGCCTTGGAGTACCAGACCCCCAAAGACTACGTCCCAGAGGGGTGCGCTGGGTGGGAAGGAATCTCAGGTGCATCCCGGCCCTGGCTGCCCTTCGGTGGGGTCGGGGGCTTAGGAGTGAAGTGGCCTCCTTGTCACCCTGGGAAACACTGCCTCAGCCACGATGCTGCTGTGTGTTATGGAGGAGGGGTGGGTCCAGGAGGGAGGACTGAGGTGCTCTGTGAGGGATGGGGTTCATCGGCTCGGCTCTGCTGGGGCGGAGCCAATGTCTGCACCTCCCTGAGATGAGAAGCCATGCCCCCAGCTTCCTCCCCACCCCCAGGCACGCAGGTGGCGTTGGCCTCTTTCCCAGAGAAGGAAGGAGGCCAGTGTCCCCCTTACCTGGCCGTTCCCTTACTGTATGCGCCTGGGCTTGCGCACAGGGCCTGATCCACCATCCCCTGGCTTCTTCACTCCAGATTGGAGCCACACCTCCTCTTGCAGCTTTTTGGTAGTTAGTTCATTGGAGTTACAAGTCTGACAGACTTTCCTGCCTGGGCTAGCTGTGAACTGTGATCCTCAGATCTCAGCTTCCCAAGCAGCTAGGATTACAGGTGTGTGAGGCCGTGCCGAGCTTTGCCGTCGGCCATGAGGGGCTGGTGACTTGATGGATGTGCTGTCTGAGTGGCTGCTTCAGAGACGGGGGAGTGTCGGAGCAGGGCCGGGCTCGCTGGTGGTGGTCTCCGTGTCCCAGCTTAGACCAGCCCCTGCCTTGGTTACGAAGCCCACCATAAAGCTTCTCCAGAGACCAGTGCCCTCCCAGGCCTGTGTGCCTTCAGTGCTCCACACCAGTGCCACAGAGACCTCTCCATGAGACTCACTGCGACCCAGGTGGGCCTCCCGGCTCTGTAGACCACAGACGACACGCTTGCCCCAGACTAAACCAGCCCTGAGGTCTGTGAGCCACACCCAACAAGGGCTGTCCCGGTGCCTTAGGTTGATCGGTTATTCCTGGGGCACAGGCTGGTGGTGAGAGCTAGGATCCTGCTGGTGTCATGTAGCCAGGCCTCTCCATTCCCGGCACAGCATAGGTCAGGATGAGCTCACTGCGACGCGGTCTTAGCTGCCCGTGGCCTGGGCCTGACTGGCTGAGTGAGGTTCGGCCTTCCGTGTGTCCTGGAAGACACTGTGGAAGGCTGGCCTCCAGTGTCCTGTGGTCTCCTCGCTTCAGACCTTCTCCGTCTCATTTCTCTTCCTCCAAGATTTGGCCGAGGGGCCTCCACTTCCAGGAAGTATTCCTGGATTTTGTCTTCCTCTCCTCCTGGGCTTCCCTCTGTTGTTATCCCCAGTTTTAGCACCTGTTTTGTTTCCTGCATGTGTCTGAAGCACTGGAAGGTGGGCCTCAGGAGGCAGAGAGGGGGACCCCCCCCATGGGAGGCTGACCCCACAGAGCTGAAGTAGAGCAGAGTCCACAGTGGAGGCAGGCATCGATGGGGTGAGCTGTGCCGTGCAGGGGTGGGGAGGGGCGTGTTGTCCAGCCCCGGATGCCACACAGATGTAGCTTGTCACCATCTCTGAGAGCTGAAAATGTCTTACAACGATGACATTAGAGGCCAGCTTTTATCTCTATAATATGATGACAGTCTCCGTTTGTCCTGTGAGACCGAAGGACACAAAATGAGAGCTCCACACACCGGGGAGGTGGACGAGAGGGTGCACAGCAGGGCAGGGGGCAGGGCAGGGGCGGGGGCGGGGCGGGGGGGTGGGGGGGCAGGACGGGGGGGGCAGGGGGGGCAGGGTGGGAGGGGGCAGGGGGGGCAGGGTGGGGTGGGGGGAGCAGGGCAGGGTGCACAGCAGGGCGGGGGGGGGCAGAGCAGGGGCGGGGGGCGGGGGGCAGGGCGGGGGGTGGGGGCGGGGACATGGCGGGGGGGGGCGGGGGGGCGGGGGGGGCGGGGGGGCGGGGCGGGGGGGCGGGGGCGGGGTGGGGCGGGGTGGGGCGGGGGTGGGGGGGCAGGGGGGGTGGGGGCAGGGTGGGGGGGCAGGGTGGGGGGGGCAGGGCAGGGTGTACAGCAGGGGGGGAGGAGAGCAGGGGGGGAGGAGGGCAGGGGCAGGGCGGGGCAGGGTGGGGTGGGGGCGAGGCAGGGGCAGGGCGGGGGGGGGGGGGGGGGGGGGTGGCGGGGGCAGGGCGGGGGGGGCGGGGCGGGGGCAGGGCGGGGGGCGGGGCGGGGCGGGGGCGGGGGCGGGGCGGGGGCGGGCACTGAAGCACAGACGGGCAGGCGTGGTTGTCCCCACGGCAGCCCTGGAGCCGTTCCGTGCTCCTGGGCACCAGGAGTGGGATTGAGGGGTGCAGTGTGTGTGCTGCCACAAGTCCCTTGGGTCCCCCTGCTCCCAGCCTATGCCCCTCAAGGAGGTCCGCCAGCCGTGGAGCCTCAGCCCCGAGTAGACTGGCCATGCAGCGTCCAGCAGCAGCTCTGTGCCCCGTGCTGGCTGGTGCTGGGCCCACAGCCTGGTCTTGACTAGACAGCGTGTTCCTCGGCCTTATCTACCTGGACCTTTGCTTCTTCCAGGCCCCGCGGAGCTGAGTCGCTCCTGGCGGCCCCGGAGACGGGGATGGCGGAGCCTCGGGTGGGAGGGCGGGCTGGGAGGGAGGGCGGATGCGCTGGCTCTGGTGTGGTGGGGAGGGGGGGGCCGAGCTTCATGACCCCAGTTTGTCCACCAGCTGCGGGGGTGGGGATGGGGGACGGGCTCTCAGGGGCATCCTAAGCCCCACAAGTTGGTGACCTATGAGTGACCATTTTATCTGGGGTCAGAATTGCTTAACATGGAAGGGTCTTAGAGGTCTCCAAGCCCCACTCCCGCGTTTACGGAGAGGGAAACTGAGGCGAGGGGAAGCAACAGGGAAGCTGGAGCCTGGGGCTGGGGTTCAGTAGCCCTCTGCCAAGCAGGGCTGTGTGATTCTCTCCACCGGGCCTAGAAGCCTCTGGAAAGTCACAGAGGATGCTGCTGGTGGGCAGCGGGGAGGCCTGCACGAAGCAAGGGGGCTCTCAGAAAATACCCCGGCCTCAGGCCAAGAACACAGCTGCAGAGGCAAAACAGGATGCGGGGTCTCCGCTGATAGCCGGGGACAATGGCCGGGAACGGAAACGCCTCCAGACCCTCCGGAACCTCTCCGCTCAGCTTCCACAGAGGTCGGGAAGGGCGGGCACCTCTGGGGTCTACATCCTGTGGGGAGGAGGCAGAGGGGCACCCACGTCTCGCGTGGGCCTTGTGAGGCCCAGTCTGGGCTCTCTCTGCGAGCAGGGCCGAGATTCCCTGTCCAGCCCGTCCCTGGGCCTGGAGGAAGGTTGCTGCTCCCAGATCCGGCTAGGCTTTGGTCGCAGCGCCTGCCAGCCAGGCTACAAGGTAGGAACGCTTCAGAGCCAAGGAGGAGGTAGAACTTCTCTTCCCCCCCAATCTTCCATCCATGGGCCAGCAAACTAGGACAGCCCCACGGGCCAAGAGAGGGGCTTGCCCCTGTGTGTGTGTGCACGTGCACGCACATGTGTATACATGGATGCTTGTGTCTGGGCGCCGTACACATGTGTGTGTGCATGCATGCGTGTGCATGCACACAGAAGTAGAAGAGGAAGAGGGAACCAAGCTGAGGTTGCTGGGACGGGCGGGCAGCAGCTGCTCGACTTCCCCAATCTCGGTGCAGGCCGGAGCCTGGGTGTTCCCGGCCTCTGCAGACAGGACACGGCCTGGCCTCCATCCAGGAAGGAGCTAATGATCAACCAGCCAGCAAGCTCGGCCCGGCCATGGTGAGGAAGTAGGGCAGGAAGCAGGGGGGGGGGGGGGCGGTGGCAGGGCCCAGAGCCTGCCTGACTGTGGAGCCCGCCCGTACCCGGGCGGCCAGCTGGCGCCTGTGTCCTTGCGTCTCCGGTGTCTTCAAGGAGGTATCTGAGGAGCAGAGCCCTCAGGCACAGGGTCTGGGGGGGGTGTCCAGGTAGGAGGGGGTGATGGCTGTGGGGAGGAGGGCAGAGCTGGGTCTTGCCTTCAATGGACTCTCGGATCGGCTTCCTGCCTTCCTCTTTTAGGAAGGCTTTTCTGACTTGCTTGAGGTCCAGGGAGCAGAGGCCCCGGGCAGCTGCTGGGCGCTGTCTCTCTGCGTCCCCAGGGGCTGCTCAGGACTGGATTTTTCAGAGTTGCCGTGTGGCCTTGCGGGCTCCGGGCCTCTCCCTGCAAGCACTCCTGTCTGGATGGGGTGTGGGCGGTGACGGGCGGTGTGAGGGGTTCTGGGCTGGTGGGTCCCAAAGGTGGTGACCCTGCTTTGGCCACCACCACCCACCGTGCGGACACTACCCAGCCTCCCTGAGGTCTCTCTGGGTCTCGCCGGGCCTGGGGTGGCTCCTCCAGGAGCCTGGACCCTTGCCCTGCCCGGAGAAAGCAATGTCGGGCCAGACATCAGAGCCAGGGCAGCCCTACTCAGGCCTGGCCTCATGAATGTGCCCCCTCGCCTCTGGCCCAGGGGCAGGGGCACAGGTTGGCTGAAGGAGGGTAGCACCAGATTCCAGCCAACCGGAACCAGAATCCCACCAGTCCAGGGCTGGGGATGTGGGTTAAGTCCAGCAAATGCAAGGCCTTAAGTTCAAACCCAGCACCACCAGCACCATCACCACCACCAGAATCTTACCTGTCCCCTGGTGGGACCTGGACTGGGCCAGACCTCGGTCTGCACATCTGTGAGGTGGGCACCGCAGAGGCTCCATCCTCTGGGGCAGGGATTAAAGGTTAAAGGGGAGGGCAGAGCTCCCTGAGAGGGGGCCATCACTCAGCCATCAGCATCTGTGGACGCGGGGTTCCCTGTGTTGGGCCCGCGCCAGTCATTTGTGGGTGTGCAGTCCTCGAATTCGGGTGCCAAGGCACGGGGTACCATCAGCCCCGCTACAGAGCAGAGAAAGTGGGATGGCGTGCCAGCCCCATGGCTGCCCTTACCAGCAACGACACACTGCTGTCCCAACAGAGACAGAACTTGTCCTCAGAGCTCGGGGTGCCGTGAGTCAGAGACAAGCTGTGGGCAAGGCAAGGCTCCTTCCGGGGCGTGAGCGGATTCCTTCCCGCCTCTTCCAGTTTCTGGGGTCCCAGGAGCGGGGCTTGTGGCAGTCACCACTGTGATTCCCACCGGGCCGAGTCCACCCGACCCCAGCGTGACTCAGCCTCAGCTGAGGCTGGTGTCGGCTGCACAAACCCCACTTCCCCGCAGTGTCCCCGGCGGACACCCGCGGGGCAGCGTTCCCCTCAGCGTGGGAGGCAGGACGGCCCTCCAGAGGTTCTTGTGGGTGATGTGGACACGGTCTCACTGGTCCCTACTGTGTTCAGTAGGAGGCGGGCGACAGCTCCAGCCAGGCCCCCCGGCCTGCTGCCCGCATTGATGAAAGGCTGTCCCTGACCCCCAGGACCCTGCGCCCAGCCTCCAGGGGAGTGGTGCTGGCTGCCTGGGGTTCTCTTGGTCCCCTCCCAACCACTGTGATTGCTGGTGTTATGCTGGGGTCTGGATACCGTGATGAGCTGGGCAAAGAGGGCAGGCGAGAAGGGAGACGAGGCCGCTCCGGTCGCCGGGGCTTGGGGGCGGCCTGCTGCCCAGGGCTGCGTCTGGCCCACTCCCAGGAAGCAGGGGGGAGCCTGAGGCCTGGGGGGCGGGCGTCCTGCGTGGGCCTGAGCCCACGTGTGACACAGCTTCTCAGGTCTCTGCAAGCACCACTGTGCGCCAGCCCCAGGGACCTGGACTTCTCGGAGGGCCTGTCCCTGTCCCTGACCCCAGGGAGGTGGGCAGGAAGGGGGCCAATCTCCAGGTCATTGCCAGCTGACGCCAGCAGAGTGCGTGTGGGTGCAGTGTCAACCTGGCTCCTGTGTGTGTGTGTGTGTGCGTGCCAGTCCTGGGGTTTGAACTCAGGGTCTGGGAACTGTCCCTGAGCTTTTGTTCTTAGGCTAGCATTCTACCACTTCCGGCTTTTTCTTTTTTCTTTTCAGTGGTTAATTGGAGATGAGGATCTTGCCTGGGTTGGCTTTAAACTAAGATCCTCAGATCTCAGCTTCCTGAGTAGCAGGAATTACAGGCGTGAGCCACCCGTGCTGGGCCAGGCTGGCTCTTGAAAGTACAGAGATGGGAAGGCCAGCAGTACGGCCCGGTAGTGGGCAGGCCGAGGCTCTCCTAAGCCAGGGCCTGCAAGGTCAGGAGATGGGAACCAGGGCTCTGTTACGATGCTTCCGTGAACTCCAGCTACAAAGGCAGGAGACGCCTGGTGTTGCAGGCCTGGCCCAGGGCTGTCTGGTAGGAGCCAGAAGGGCAATTTGGCAAAACAAGGAAGGGGCAGACTCAAAGTCCAAGGCTCAGGCTGAACTCAAGGCTGGGGAGGGCACCGGCCTGGAGGATGCCGAGGAGGGGGTCAGGTGTGACCGGGTGGGCACGGCCCCCCGGGGCCGGGGGCAGAGGGCAGAGGCCTGTGGCATGACTGGTGTGTGATCCTGGGACCCACGATGGACAGCTGCTCCAGTGCCAGCTGCCCCGGGGCTCCTGGGTCAGGATCCAGGCCGAGAAGGCCTGGCACTGTCTGTGGGTCCCGGGCTGTGCCATCTCGGGACCTCCTGGGGTCAGTGCTGTCTGGCTCAGCCAGCACCACGGGCCCGGGCTGCCTTGGGACAGGAGCTAAGAAGGGGAGGGGGCTGAGACCGTTGCCCCCATGTGTGGGAGAAATCATCCACGCAGTGCCCAAGAAGGGCTCGGTGGCCCCCTTTTGGAGAACACTTGAAGTGGGGAGAGACAGGCTCCCCAGCTCACTCTGCCCCAAACAGACCCACGCCCAGGCTGGCAGCGCCACCGCGCGGCCCTGGGGAGGGCTCGTGGCACCTCTTTGGCCTGCAGGGCTCTTGGGGGTCCTGCATCCCGGACCCCAGGTCTGGCCCCTCGTCCTCTGCCCCAGTGGCCTCCTTGGCTGTCTCTGCAGGTCCTGGACGTCGGGTCCTGGCAGACGATCTGGTGGCACAAGTGCCATCCACCACTGTGGGCCGCGTGTTCTCTGAGCCTGCTGTTGACCGCCCTGTTCCAAGCAAGGGCTCAGTCAGGGGAGGCCAGCCCTGCCCTTTCATTCCCGGTGCGTGCGTGGAGAGAATCTGTGTCTGCTCCGAGGGCAAGGCCGAGATTTCCCAGCTCACGGTCACGTGGACCCGGTGAGGTCTGCGCACCGAGAGCCGGCGGTGGTCTGCCCTCTGCCCTGGAGGCCAGGCGGGCGGCTGACGCAGGCATCGCCCTGTGCTCCATGGCCTGCCCGCGCTCTGTGTCCGTGTGCGGCTCCTGCGCTGGTGTTTGCGTCCTGAAAGGGGCGCCATGTTGTCCATGCTGTGGCCCCCATAGTGACAAGGCCGCTGAACCCAGAGGTCGGCCTGCCAGGCTATACAAGGCCCTCGTTCATTTTATTTTTGGAGGGGGTGCCAGGGATAAAGCCAGGGTGTCTGCCCCTTGGCTTCACCCCCTTGCTGACCTCTGACCCCAGGAAAGGCTGAGGCAGAGTGACTACCTCCCATCCGGTTTCACCTTGACCCTTCACCTTTCTGCTTCCTCCACTTCCTTCCTTCCTGGGGTGCCCAGGGGTCTGGGCTGTCGGGGCCCTGGATGGGCTCCAAGGAGCCTTCTAGAAGCATTTGCACAGACTGTGGAGGGAGACCAGGCTGTGTGGGGCACCCTTTATAATCCCCAGCAGAGCCTCCTGGGGAGAGCATCTCCAGCGGAGCAGACCTGTGCTGCCCCGGCCCGTGGGGGCCTGGCTGGAAGCCACGTTCCACAGGTGTCCGGTGGCAACACGTGCTATTGTTTTTACACACGTTGACACACGTAGGCAGTCCTCTGTGGTCTATCTGAGCAGCCAAGGCCGAAGGCCCTGGTAGCGTGCAAGCCGGGGAAGCCCGGCCCGAGGACTTCCAGCCTGTGCCCGGGCTCCGGCTTTGGGGCCCGCCTGGGCGCAGGGCCCGGATGGAGCCTCTCCCAGAAGGCTCGACCAAGTTGCAGAGACAGTGGCTTACGAGGGAGGAGTCATCCGAGTGGAGATGGCTAACGGCTCAGCAAAGGCCCTGGGGTGCTGGGGGCACAGCAGGGTCCAGGGACCAAAGAGAGGCTGAGGAGGTAGCCTGCGGGGGGGGGGGGGCAGGAGGCGGGCCTCCCACTCTGCCCCTCCCTGTGCCGGCCCGACACCTGCTCTGATTCTCAGGTGCTGGGGACTCCACAGGCCTTCTCTGCTCGACTCTGCAGCTCCACAGCCTGCCCCCTAGAGGGGGACTTGGCCAAACACCCGTTTCCTTTCTAGCATGTCCAGCCCTCCGTCCAGAGGCCACCGTGGATCATGAAGGGGCCCCCGGAGACCATGGGGAGGGGGCCAGCGGGACCCTCTGGAAGCCACAGCCGCAGAGCGAAGGCCCAGCACCTGGCCATGCACTCACCGACTGGCTGCCAGCAAGCGGGGCCGGGGGAGGCCAAGGCCGAGCTCAGAGGCGGTGAGTGCAGACGGAGGCCCGGCCTCCCTCTCCCAGGACCTGCCATCGGCCCGGGGCTTCTCCTTTCCCGTGCGTTGAGAGTCACGTGCTGACTGGTGCTTTTCCCGATGTAGGTGGTATATCGGGAAGGGCCTGCAGGGTGATGGCCATTTATCTGGAGACTTCTAGAAGTTCTCCTGCAATCCTGCTTGTTCCTCACACCCCCTGGATGTCCCAGGGAAGGCTTTGCTCCCCAGGAGGCCCACCGAGGCCTGGGAGGCCACAGGGCTGGTCTACCCTCCACAACTGATGACCAGATCAGGCCTAGTGCCCCTAAGGTGCCAGGCAGTACTTCCTACCCAACCACAGGTGGGCACAGGAAGGGACCTGGGTTCTAATCCTGGGTGTCGGCGGGCCACTGCTTGACTGGCAACCTCCGTGAACTCCAGGACCCCTCCCTGCATGCCCTCAGACTCTGGGATAGAGGAGAGAGGAGCCCTGGGTGGAGAGGCCTGACTCCTCCCTCATCCCGCCTGGCTGTCCAGGGCTGGGCCCTGCCGACGCTCAGCCCCGAATGACCCCGGCGGAAGGGAGGTACAGCCTCCGCCGACCTGAGGAGGCTTCACCTCTGTTGTCCTGCCGTGAGCATGTGTCAGGGGCTCCCCGCCACCAGAGGCCCCTGTGTATGGACAGGACCCCGTGTCTGCCTCCCACCTGCCGATTTCCTCTGCGTGTCAGGGAATAGCACCCATTCTCCCCAAGCAGACTCTGCCAACGTGCGCGATTCACACCCTGGTGTGTTCTCGCTCGGTCTCCACACGTGACTGACTGTTTCTGAGTGGTTTGAGAGCAGACCGCAGACGTGAAACCCTTCCTCTGACAGAGGCTTGTGTTTCCCCATTCCCAGGAACCTGCTCTAGGGACCCCAGGGCAGTGATTTAACAGTGGGCCCCTGGTTTTCCTAATGCTGTTCTCGGGCAAAGCTTGCTGGTTGTCCCGACTGTGTTCCCGGAGCCTCTGAAATTCCAGAAGTCTGCTCCCTGCCTCTGACAGCTCCTTTCTACCCAGAAGTTGCTTCTGGAACATAGTCCAGCCACCCTGATTGGCCCCTGTTTGGATTCCATGATGCTTCTTTCTGGTCCCGTAGGGATTGTTCCGTGCAGTGTCTCGGGCATGTAACGGCCTCGGGTCTGCTTCCTAGCAAAGCTCCTGTGCTTCGCTTTTTTGCTCGAGGCCGGTGCTCTACCAGGTTTGGCATCTTGGGAAGGCATTATCCTGGGCCATCCGAGAGGGCCTGGACGCTGTCACGGGGTCTTTATGTGGGGCGGGGAGGAGATGGAACTGTGAGGGTTAGGAGCCAATCAGAGAGCCGAGTGGAGGCCAGCCTGGGGGCCGGAAGGCAGGCAGCCTCCTGCAGCGGGGTCGGCCCGGGCCACCCAGCCCTTCCCGCTCAGAGCTACCCGCCTTCATTCGGCCACGTCAGAGTCCAGAAAGACACGCTAGCACCCGTGCTGCGCCGTCTCCTGGGTGCGGAGACGTGTCTCGCTGTCCCGTGGGGGCGCACGGCTTCCTTCGGCTGGGCTTCGGTGAGCGACCGATGGGAAAGGAGGCTGGGCGGGCGCTGAGCCTCCTCTTCTTCCAGAGACACTTGGGTGTCTGCGAGGTGCCTGTGCCGGAAGCCCAGGGAGTTGCTGTGTCACCGACGAAGCTCCGCCGCCTGGCCAGACGGCAGCGTATCCCACAGGTGGGTGTCCTGCGCGGCCTGGGCGCGTGGCCCAGTGCTGTGCCAGCCGGCCCTCTGTGTCCGTCGTGAAACACCGGCGGCCGCGGGCTGGGAGGGCACCGGCGACTCCGGCGGGCCATGCGGAAGCCGGCAGCCTGCTCTCTCCCCGGCCAAGTGGGCTGGGGACTGCGCGGGTGACGTGAGGCCTACAAGTGTCCCCTGGGGGCTGCACGGTGACACAAGGGACCCGCTCTGTCACGGGGTGAGCCCAGGACGGCGGGAGCCCCGGGGAGGGGTGTCGGGGCAGGCTTTCTAGAGAGGGGTTCCAAAGACCCTCATCCCCGGCCGCCGGAGGCAGCACAGGGCGGGGGGAGGGGGAGGCGACAGAAAGCTCCAGGCTTGTGAAGTCCCCCCGACCCCGGACACCGCCTGTGGGGGAAGCTGAGTGCCCGCTCTGCGGTTCGACATTCGCCGTCACCATGGCACCCCATACCCTCTCTTTGGGGCGGCCAGCGCGGTCGCTTGGGTTGGCTAGGCCGCGCTGGGCAGTTGCACAGACTGCTCTGGGCTGGGAGATGCGAGGTCCGCCCCGTGGGTGGAGTGCGTGTCGGCCCTCAGGGTCTCGTGGGCTCGCAGCTGGGATTTCCGTGACATGCCGGGCGGTCCCCCTCGTGTGGGGTCCACCCCAGGTTCCAGAAGCTCCACCCTGCCCCACCCTGGGCCCCTCCCTGCTTGAGAGTAGTGTCCATTCTTGGTGTCCACTCTCGGCCTCCAGGACAGAGGCTGGGAGGCAGGTGTCCAGCCTGTCCTGAAGGCATGGGGGATGACCCCTGTCTCACATAAGAGCACGTGTACCAGAGTCCCCTAGGGTGGCTGGGAGTAGAGGGGAGGTGGCCATGCTGGTCATCCTGCTTGCAAGCAGGAGCAAAGGCCCTGGGGCAGGATTGGTGCCTTGGTATGTTGGAACAGCAGAGAGGACCAGGCTTTGGCTGTGAGGTGCAGAGCTTGGCTTTATTCTGGGGGGGGGCGGGGGCACTGTAGCTGTGCTGTGCCACCGGCCACCACAGGCCATCGCTGGCCACGTGGGGCTGCCTGCAGTCACGTTCCCCAGGAAGGTATGAAGATCCCACCTCCTGGAGCACTGCCAGCTTCCCGAGGTCTGCAGTGAGGAGCGTGTGGACAGGAGGCTGGCAGGGTGGACGCGGCCGTCCTCCTGCCCAGAGCGCTTGGAGCTGGGCCAAGTCAGGAGCCCAAGTCAGGACCTGGGCCGAGCCTGAGAGGCCCAAGCCAGGCAGAGGCCAGGCCGGGGCCATTGGAGGTGGGCGCGGGGCGGAGGCCGGGCAGCTGATGTGTGACCCACAGCAAGGGCCGTCTGGACACAGGGAGCTGGCGAGGGAGCTGAGGTGGAGGAAAGCAGGAGCTGCGACCCAGGGGTCTGTGGAGATGGACCCGGTCTGTGCCCGGGAACCAGAAGCCGCGGTGGCAACACAGGTGGCTGCGGCGGACGAGCTCCTGTTGGCCTGCTGTGGGGACCGCGCCCAAGGCCCTGTCTCCCTGTCCAGGCCAGGCACAGCTGGAGCCCTTGAGGCCAGAGGCCCCTGTTCCCTGCGGGACAGCCTCTCACAGCTAGGGAAACCGAGGCCAGAGAGAAAAACAATAGTCAAGGCCTCTCGGGACATGGCCGGGGTAGAGCCTGGCTGTCTAGAGCTGCCTGTGAGGCCTGGGCCCGGGTCCTCGGTGTCAGCTCTGTGGGTGGGGGCCCGCGGGGGTGGGGAGCTCCCCGCTGCCCCCCCCCAGGGCAGGGCAAACCGCCCCTTCCATCTGCTTCTGCAGACCTGGCCCTGCAGCTGCGGGCCGTGCGGAGGAGGAGCGGGCTGCCGGCCCCAGGCCTGCAGGAGGCCCTGCGGGCACGGCTGCGCCTGCTGGAGGGGGACAGCCGGGACGTGGCCCGCGTGCTGGGCGTGAGTATGGCCTGCGCGGTGGGGGGCGGGGGGGAGCGGGGAGGGGGAGAGGGGCCGGCCGGCCTTCACCGGCACAGACAGGGGAGGACAGGGCTGGGCCCAGGGCGGGAGGGCGGCCGCCTGGCGACGTGCGCAGACTCCGGGGTTTGAACCCTGTCTGCACTGCCAGCTGGTCACGAGCGGCCTGTAAACACCAGGAGCCCCAGAGGGATCTGGCTGGCTTTTCTTTCTTTCTTTTTTTTGGCTGGTCATGGAGCTCACACGCTGTCCCTGAGCTCTTCAGCTCAAGGCGAGTGCTCTGCCACTGCCACCACAGTGCCACTTCCAGTTTTCTGGTGGTTACGTGGAGCTAAGAGTCTCACGGACTTTCTGCCTGGGCTGGCTTTGAACCGTGATCCTCAGATCTCAGCCTCCTGAGTAGCTAGGATGACAGGCATGAGCTGCCCATGCCCAGCTTTGCTTTTCTTTTTGGGTGGTACTTGGGCTTGAGCTTGCTAAGCAGATGCTCTCTGTTGGAGCCTTGCCCCAAAACCTTTTCTTTGGCCTTATTTATTTTTTCCCACCACGTCTTGTGTTTTTCCTGGAGTTGGCCTCCCGGAGCCTCCTCCTGCGGACTGCCTCCTGAAGGCAGTGGAGAGCCTCGGCTGGCTGGCAGGCCGCACCGGGCTTGGCCGTGGCAGAACCTGCCCTGCCCTTGCTGCCCCCAGCCCGGGCCGAGTGTGCAAGGTGTGTGGGTGCGGCGCCTGCTCTCGGAACCGCTGGAAACGCCTCTCATCCCTGTTTCTTCCTCTTAAGGAGCTGTCGGCCAGGCTGCTGTCCATCCACAGTGACCAGGACCGGATCATGGTGACGTTTAAGACGTTCGAGGAAATCTGGAAGTTTTCTACCTACCACGCTCTCGGTAAAGCGGCCACCTTCCCCAGAGTCCAGCGCAGGCCCCCGGAGGCCGCTCCCGTGCGTGCCCCACCGTGGCCTCTCCAGAGAAACCGCAAACGTAGGGCCGGCGAGGGGCCGTGTGTACCCCCGGGTCGGTGGTGCGTCTGTTCTGGTGGAGCTAGGGGGCCCCAGGTGGTTCTGTCTGTGCTGTGAGCACTCACGCTCCTCTGGAGGCTGGGCAGAGGGAGGCTGCTCTCTGGAGGCCTGTGTGCCAGGCCCAGCTGCCGTGTGTTCTCCTCCATGTCAAAGTCCTTTTGAGTCTAACTGCACTCGGGTGGGATCTTCAGCACACCCTCCAGGCCACCTTCCTGTCCCTGTCCTCAGATGGACGTACAGCGTTTAGTGTGTGTGAAGAGCTCACTCTCCATTTGTCTCGAGTATGCGGGCTGGTGAGGCCGTGGCTCACAAAGGCTTGATTCCCCCCAAATGGGGACCAACACAGTAGCACCACAGAAAGGCTTGGGAAATCCAGTCCAGGGTTCCAGGTCATTTTGTATTGTTGCTTTGTTTTTATGCCAGCCCTGGGGCTTGAACTCAGGGCCTAGGTGCTGTCTGTTGGCTTTTTCATTCAAGGCTAATGCTCTACCACTCAAGCCACAGCTCCACTTCCGGCTTTTGGTGGTTAATTGGAGATAAGAGTCTCTCAGAGGTGGGCGCTGGTGGCTCATGCCTATCATCCTAGCTACTCAGGAGGCTAAGATCTGATGATTGCGGTTCAAAGCCAGCCCAGGCAGGAAAGTCTTTGAAACTCATCTCCAATGAACCACCAGAAAGCTGGAAGTGGCGCTGTAGCTCAAGTGGTAGAGCGCTCACCTTGAGCTGAAGAGCTGAGGGACAGCGCCCAGGCCCAGAGTTCAAGCCCCACGACCAATTTAAAAAAAAAAAAAAAAGAGTCTCTGGGACTTAATGCCTAGACTGTCTCTGAAATGCGAGCCTCAGATCTCAGCCTCCGGAGTAGCTGGGATGACAGGCGTGGGCCACCGGCCTGGCCGCCAAGTGTGTTTTGTGACCTCGTATTCTGCACCTGGCATGTACAAATGCACTCAGTAGTGTGGATGGGGCTGGACGTGACCCCAGACCCGTAGACGGCAGGGTGGGTGCAGAGGCGCCGCAGCTCCTGGGTGGGCACAGAGGTTCCCGGGTGGGGTGCAGAGGCCCGGCGGCCCCTGGAGGCCCGTGTCGGTCCACAGAAACCCTTCAGGGCGGGTCCCCCAGGCCTCCGGCCCTCTCCGGAGCTCCCCCCGGTGACCGGGCCTGGCCTTGCAGGCTTCACGCACCACTGCCTGGAGAACCTGCTGGTGGGCCCGGCCTTCTGGCTGCTCCCGCCCCGCGAGGAGGAGGAGGAGACGGCCATCCGTGTGCTGGTGGACCAGGACGCCCTGAGGGAGATGCACGAGAGCCTCCTGGTCCAGGAAGGTGGGCGCCCTGTGACTGTGCTGGGGGTTCTGCCCGGGGGTGGGGTGGGGGGGGTCCGCGGCGGGGACCCTGCCCGGCAGAGCGCCAGCCGTCCGGGTCTGGTCACCCCGGGCCACCCTCTGTCCCTCTGAAGGACGCTTTTTTGTCCTGTGTCCTGACCACCGGGTGAGAGCAACCACACGCTCAGGAAAGGACCCCCAGCCCCGCGGGCGCGCGTCGGGGGGAGACCTCCCGCCCTCCAGCTCCAGCGTGTCCTCCCAGGAGCCGGCCACCGCGCCAGCGCCAGCGCCCCTGGAGCCCTTTCACCAGTAGGTACCGAGCGGGCCACCCATCCCCACGGCCGGCCTCCCTGCCCTGTCCTCACGGCCGGCCTCCACACCTGTCCCCACGGCCGGCCTCCCCACCCATCCCCACAGCCGGCCTCCCCACCCATCCCCACAGCCGGCCTCCACACCCATCCCCACAGCCGGCCTCCACACCCATCCCCACAGCCGGCCTCCCCACCCATCCCCACAGCCGGCCTCCACACCCATCCCCACAGCCGGCCTCCACACCCATCCCCACAGCCGGCCTCCCCACCCATCCCCACAGCCGGCCTCCACACCCATCCCCACAGCCGGCCTCCACACCCATCCCCACAGCCGGCCTCCACACCCATCCCCACAGCCGGCCTCCCCACGGCCAGCCTCCCCACCCATCCCCACAGCCGGCCTCCACACCCATCCCCACGGCCAGCCTCCACACCCATCCCCACAGCCGGCCTCCCCACCTGTCCCCACAGCTGGCCTTGCCACCCCGTCCCCATGGCCGGCCTCCCCACCCATCCCCACAGCCGGCCTCCCCACCCATCCCCACGGCCGGCCTCCACACCCATCCCCACAGCCGGCCTCCCCACCCATCCCCACGGCCAGCCTCCACACCCATCCCCACAGCCGGCCTCCACACCTGTCCCCACAGCCGGCCTTGCCGCCCGTCCCCATGGCCGGCCTCCACACCCGTCCCCACAGGCCTCTCAGTTTTGCCCCAGGTCCTGTTTGCCTAGAGCTGGTGGAGGCTCGGGTCCCTTCTGCTGCTTCCTTGCTGTGTGGCCTTTGCGGTCAGTCCTCCTCTCTGCCTCGCAGACTCCTGCCTGGGGGCCTGGGGCATCGGGCGGGCAGGGCCGTGCTGGGTTTGCAGGGCATGGGAGGGCTCGGCGAGCGGTTTTGTCATGCTGCCCCGTGGCCTCCGTCCTCACAGCCAGGAATGAAGCCTAGGTACAGGAACCAAAGGCTAACACGCGCTCCGTTCGCTGGCTGAGCGTGGAGTGTAAACCGCCGGGGAGTTAGCTTCCTGGAAGCCAAGGCAAAGAGGGAACCCACAGCCGCTGAGGCTCCGCTCGGGGCGGAGGTTGTCCTGGACGCTCCAGCCCGGAGCAGGCAGCACCCTCCCTTCACCCAGCCCTGAGGCCGGGGGCTGTCCAGTGCCCCATCCGGCAGGCCCTGAGTCCGGGGCTGTCCAGCGCCCCATCCGGCCATCTTGTTTTCTTTTTCTTTTTCTTTTTTTTGTTTTGTGTCTGGTCGTGGGGCCTGAACTCTGGGCCTGGGCGCTGTCCCTCAGCTCTTCAGCTCAAGGCCAGCGCTCTACCACTTGAGCCACAGCACCACTTCTGGCTTTTTTTTCCTGCTTATGTGGTGCTGAGGAATCGAACCCAGGGCCTCAGGCATGCAAGGCAAGTGCTCTACCACTGAGCCACCTTCCCAGCCCAGCCATCTTGTTTTTTACTTGAGGCAGCGGAGGCCTGGAGCAATGACGGTCCCACGGCACCGAGAAAACAGCAGGACCAGGATTAGAATCAGGGCTCCTGGGCCCCACTGCCTCAAGTCTCACAAATCCTGCTGGGCTGAGAACTTTCCAGAAGGAAGTAGGGACAGACACTCTGCAGACACATGGGGGCGTGGGTTAAGGAGAGGGAGAGGAGCGTGTGTGAGGCAGAGGCTGGCACTCTGGTGTGGAGGCCGCACACCTGGGTGGGGGGTGTGTGTGGTGCACACGCGTGTGTGGGGCGGTGCTGGCCCCGTGAAGGCCAGCCCCTGCCCAGCGGCCCCCTGCCCGGACCTGACCCCCGCAGCGCAGGCCTCTGTCTCCCCAGGTGGGCTCTGCGGGTCCCCTGGGACCCCGCCGATGATGCTGACTGTGGCCCCCCGGCGCCCAGCGTCCCGTGCGCGGGTACGTGTCTTGGCCTTCCTTCCCCGGGGGTGTGGGAGGTGTCTGGCTAGCTGACCCTTCCTAGAGGCAGAGGGGAAGGCTGGGGTCTGCTCCGGGCTCAGGGGTGAGCATGGAGGCCAAGAGGCCCTGCACCCAACACTCAGGAAGCCAGACGGAGCTCTGGTCACTACTCTGGGGTGGACGGCACCCTCCCGCCCCTTGCTCACCCCCTCCCCCCACCCGGAGGCCCTGGCCAGCGGGACTGGGCTCTGTTGGAAACTGCTGGGCGCGGGTAGAGGCTCCGGCCCGCCCTGTGCCTAGCCTCCGGTGGAGGCGGGAGGCCGGAGGCCAGCCCCACGGCGACCCCACCCTTTGTCTTTTCTGGCCTCCTGGGGTCTACGGCCGGACTCAGAGCCCTGCCAGAGGCAGGGGCATTTGGGCCTGGAGCTGCATGCCACCAGAGTTGAGTTACCTCAGTTTCCCGTCGTTAGCCTATGCTTACAAACACCCATGGGTCTCTGGGGACCACACAGCGGGCCAGCCCCTCTGTCCGCTACTGGCCAAAATGGAGCCGTCTGGTTGTCCCCGGGCGGGCCTCATGGCCGACGCGAGCCTCCTTCCCCAGGGCTTGGCCTGGCCTCCGCCGTGGCCGACCACCAGGGCGCAGGCCCCGAGGAGGTGTCCTTCCACAGCGGCGACGTCATCGAAGTCCTCGGTGCCCGGGTGCCTGGCCTGCCCTGGTGCGTGGGCCGGCACGTGGCCAGCGGCCAGGTGGGCTTCGTGCCAGCCGGTCTGGTGCGCATGCAGGAACCCACGTCGGGGTGAGTGAGCCCCCTCCCCAGTCCCCCTTCCCCTCCAGGGACCCGTCTCCCTCCAGCTGCCTGGTGGCGCACGGGAGGCTGTCCAAGAGGCTCCTCGCTGCCTTCCCTGCAGCCTGTGCTGCCTGCCTGGTCCCTGGTGCCCAGCTCTGCCCCATGTGGACCCCCATGTCCTCCAGGGGGCCGCAGGGGGCTGGCCACGCCCACGTCGCTTCCTTGATACTTGGGGCCAGATGTCAGGGTCACGGTAACCGCTGACCGCTGACCACAGGCCCCCTGCATCGTGCGAGGCCCCTCCGCCTCTGCCAGCCACCGCTGGCTCAGGCTCCTCAGCTGCCCACCCATGCCCACAGTCCCTGTCCCTGTGTCCCCGTCTCTGTGTCCCTGTCTTCGCGTCCCTGTCTCTCTGTCTCTGCGTCCCTGTGTCTCCATCTCTGTGTCTGTCCCTCTCCCTCCCTCCCGCCCTCTTTTGTTATTCTCTTTCTCTTTTTGTGCCGGCTCTGGGGCTTGAACTCGGGGTTTGGGCACTGTCCTATAGCTTTTTTTGCTCACAGTTGGCAGTCTACCACTCGAGCCACAGCTTCATTTCCAGCTTTTTGCTGGTTTAGTGAAGACAGTTTGTAGGGTTTGTCTGCCCGCGCGGGCCTCAAGCCTCAATCCTCGATCTCAGCCTCCTGAGGAGCTGGGATTGTAGGCGTGTGGTGCTGCGAATGAGGGCTGTGAGCAGAGCCGCTGTTTCTCCAGGTGGGAGAGCGCGGTGTTCCTGAGCGAGGAGGACCGGGCCTTCTTCGGCACCCAGAGCCACTTTTCTGAGGAGGACGCGCGGAAGCTGCTGAGCAGGATGTCTGGCACAGACGTGGGCACCGTGTACAGCCTGGGTGGGTGCCGAGGGCTCGTGGTGGCCTTCACCCCCCAGGACCCAGGGAGAGCACCCCACACTGACCACCGAGGACAGCTTTCTGGGGATGATTTGTGGTCATTTCAAGGAGGTGGAAGCCAAGGCTGGAGAGATACCAGCCCTGGAGGGAGGAGGGCGCGTGGGGGGGGGGTGGGGGGGAGGGCTTCATCCCAGGTCTGTGGCACCTGATGCAGATCTCTTGGAGATGTGGGGGTCCGGGGTGCCCCTCGGGAGAGCATGGCCCTGCCTTGGAGTGCGGGGGGGAGGATGGGGCCTGTGGGGGGGGGGGGGGGCGGCCGCAGACCACTGTGCCCTGCCCCAGCCTGGAGACCGGGAAGCCGCAGGTTCTCTGGCCCCCACGCCGCTTCCCCCTGATGGGTGCTGACCAGAGAGCCGCTGCTGCTGGCCTCAGGGTGACCGCTTTCTCCCCTCCCCCCTCAGACCAGCTGGACGCCACGTGGGAGCAGCCGGAGACAGCAGGTGGGCACCGCCCCACGTCTAGGCTTTGGGGACGGAGGCGGGGCAGGGCAGCCGCGCCGGGCATGGTGGACTGAGGACGGTGACGTTCTTCTCTGCTGGGTGGGTGGGGTGTGGGGGAGGCTGGGGGTGGCATCTGTGGGGGTCTGAGACACCCCCACCTCTCCCAATGAGTGGCCAGCTCCCGTGGCTCACGGCTGAGGGTCCCTTCCTGGGCCTCGGTCCAGGCTGGGCCTCAAGATCTGCGGGCAGTGGTGGCCAGGGCCTGTGGCTGTAGAAGAGGCCCCTCTCCCGGCAGGGACCCTCCTCCTTCACCCCTGCCTCCCACTTGCTCCCTGCCCCGGAGCATCTGCAGGCCATGCCCCGGGGATGTGAGCAGCCCAGGGCCCCGGGGTTTCCCTGCAAATGGAGCCATCCAGGCTGAGCCCATGCAGCCCGGGGGGGGGGGGGGCGGGGGGGGGAGGGAAGGTTCTAGAGATTGCAGGGAGTCGGCCCCAGGGCTCTTTGGAGCCCCGCAGCCAGGGTTAGGGGAGGATGGGTAGGGGCCGGCTCTGCCCAGGCCCCTGAGCAAAGGCCCTGCGGTCTCTTCCAGCTGCCCAGGCGGGAAGGCAGCTGGCAGCCGGTCTGGCAGGACCCGGGAGAAAGCCGGCCTGGTGCCATCGGGTCGTGAATGTGACACTGAACAACTGTGGTGTGTGTGTGTGTGTGTGTGTGTGTGCACGTGCGTGTGTGCACGCGTGTGTGCCAGTCCTGGGGCTTGAACCCAGGGCCTGGGCACTGTCTCTGAGCTGTTTTTCTCAAGGTGAGCACTCTGCCACTTGAGCCACAGCTCCACTTCTGGCTTTCTTGGTAGTGAATTGAAGATAAGAGTCTCACAGATTTCCCTACCGAGGCTGACTTCAAACTGTGATCCTCAGCTCCCCGCCTCCTGAGTAGCCGGGATGGCAGGAGTGAATGCCAGTGCCGGGCATCCTCTCCGGCAGTGGGATGACCAAGGACCCACTTTTAGCCTCGTATACTCCGGAGTTAGGGCCCAGAGACAGACGGGAGTCTAACTAAGCATTTTGGTGACTTTCAGAAACACAGCTTCCTCACGTGAACCTAGAGCCGTGCGAAACTCTGCAGACGATCAAGAATGTTCTAGAACAGTGCAAATCCTGCCCGCCATGTCCCGAGGAGCCAACCTCGTGGGACCCCCAGGCCTGGCCCCGCGGTGTGAGCGCGCCGGAGCCCGAGGAGCCCCCCTTCTGCCTGGATGCAGGAGCCGACTGGGAAGACGCGGACGCTCCGGGCTCCCCACTGCGGGTGCTGAATGCCCCTGGGCACCGGGCGTGCCCCCGCGGCCTGTGCGAGGCCTCGCTTCCATGGCTCAGCGCGGCGCTCTGCGGCTCTGCAGACGAGGACGCGCTGGCTGAGCGCCTGGCGCGGGCCCGGGCGGCGGCCAAGAAAGCCGGTCTGGGCATGGCCCTGGCCAGGCTCTGCTTCCTGCTGGGCCGGCTGTGTGCCCGGAGGCTCAAGCTGTCCCAGGCCCGGGTGTACTTCGAGGAGGCGCTGGGGGCCCTTGGACACAGCTTCGGAGACCTCTCCCTGACGGTGGCCGTGTACACCCACCTGGCCGCCATTTACCTGAAGCAGAAGAACAGGCAGAAGGGTGTCCAGGTGGTTCCCAAGGCCGCGGCCCTGCTCCTGGGGACCCCCGGCCCCACGGCCAGCACGGAGGCGGAGGCCGAGCTCCTCCGGTATGCCCTCCGCAGGGCCATCTGCACCCGGAGTCCGCAGGCCGAGGCCCGGGCCTGCTTCCTGCTGGCCAAGCACCATGCCCGCCTCAAGCAGGCCCACGAGGCCCTGCCCTACCTGGAGAGGCTGCTGCTGCTGCTGCCCACGCCGCCCCCCGGGGCCGCCTCCTGGCCCACCGACTGCCACCTGCTGCTGGCGGACATCTACGGCCACAAGTGCTTGCCCCACCTGGCGCTGAGCTGCGTCCGGGCGGCCTCGCCCTGGAGCAGGGCCTCGCTGGCCGGCTGTCTGCGGAGTGCGCAGCTGGTCCTCCACAACGCGCCCGGGCTGCCCGGCCCGAGGAGGGCGGACTCCGGACTCCCCGCCCAGGCCGCCCACTACCTCCGGCAGGCGCTGGCCACCACGGCCGCGGGCCCCGGGCGGGCCCCGCGCGGCCCCCTCTGCGCCAGCCTGGCTCAGCTCCACAGCCAGCACGGGCAGCACGGCCAGGCCATCGCGCTCATGACGCAGGCCGTGCTGGCAGACGCTGGCTGCGGTGCCCGGCCCATCGTGGACCGCCTGGTGTCGCTGGCCTGGTTATGCCTGCTGCACGGGCAGAGCCCGGAGGCCCTGGGCATCCTCCAGTCCATCTTGGAGGCGGCGGTGGCCGGGGAGGACCAGGAGGGCGTGGTCACCAACATGCTGGCCATCGCCCTGCGGAGGACGGGCCGGACCCGGCGGGCGGCCGAGGGCTACTACCGCGCCCTCCGGGCCGCCCGGAGCCTGGGACAGCTGCACAACCAGGCCGTGGTGCTGGCCAACTTCGGGACCCTGTGTGCGCAGGTGGGCGCCAGCCGGCTGGCCCAGCACTACCTCCGGGAGGCCATCGGCCTCTTCTCCCGGCTGCCCGGCCGGACGTGCGGCCGGGACTTCACCCAGGTCCTCCTGTGGATGGGCCGTCTGTGCACCCGCGGGACCCTGGCCCAGCGTGGAAAGTGCTACTACATGTGGGCCTTCCTGGTCGCTGTGGAGACCGGCCACCTGGAGAGTGAGTGGGGTCCCCCACCGCCCGGGTCTGCCTCCAGCCCCACCCTCGCTCTCTCCCTGGAGAGACAGCATGCCTTCCCTCCTCTCCCTCGGCGTGGGGGGAGCTGGCAGGCGTTCCTCTGGTGTTGGGGGCAGCCATGAGGGGGTCTGCGTGCTGGGAATGCCCCCAGGAGCCTCTCAGTGCACCCCTAGCCCCCGATATAACCTGAGATCAGGCCTCGCTGAGCTCGATGAGAGTCTGGCCTCCTCTTCCCACCTTCCGAGCTGCTCAAGTGAGCAAAAAACAAAAAACAAAGTCTCGCGTTTGCTGGATGTAAGCCAGGCTCCCCTGGGACTGTTTGGAGAGCAGCCGGGTGGGTCTGCCGGGCATCCAGCCTTGCCGCGTGGGTGAGGGCAGCCTCTCCAGCATGGACTAGAGGGCAGCCTTGCGAAGGCCCAGGGATGAGTAAGCAGAGTCGGCGTAGAGCTTGACGTGGGTGGATAGGATGGTTGATGGTTAGAAGGGGGCGGGGCAGCACCCAGTGCCGCCGGCTGTGGTGTGGCCGAGGCCTGTGAGCATGCGAGCTGGTGAGGGCTGCGGCACCCTCTGCACGGGTGGACAGTGGCCGGGCGGCAGGTGGCGTGTGGGAGAGCCGTTGGTGGAGAAGGCGGCTGTCCCCGGGGAAGGCCACGTCCTGGGGCATTGGCACACCCTCTGCCCTGGGCACTGCTCACCCCCCAGGACACCCTGTCCTCACAGAAGACTGCTCTGGGAGACTCTGCTGTCCCCCAAGGGTCCGAAGGTTGGGTCCCCAGCACAGGTCCAGCAGGCTCATGGCATTGATGGAACTGACCTCGCAAAGAGGCCTACGGCAAGAAGGAAGGGAGGGAGGGAGGGAGGGAGGGAGGGAGGAAGGAAAGAAGGAAGGAAGGAAGGAAAGAAGGAAGGAAGGAAGGAAAGAAGGGAGGGAGGGAGGAAGGAAAGAAGGAAGGAAAGAAGGAAGGAAGGAAGGAAAGAAGGGAGGGAGGGAAGGAGGGAGGGAGAGAGGAAGGAAGGAAGGAAGGAAAGAAGGGAGGGAGGGAGGGAGGGAGGGAAGGAGGGAGGGAGGGAGGGAGGAAGGAAGGAAGGAAGGAAAGAAGGGAGGGAGGGAGGGAGGAAGGAAGGAAGAAAAGAAGGGAGGGAGGGAGAGAGGAAGGCAGGAAGGAAGGAAGGGAGGGAGGGAGAGAGGAAGGCAGGAAGGAAGGGAGGAAGGAAGGAAGGCCCACACAAGAGCTTCTTCAGCAGCACACAATGCTCCCATAGGGCAACCTGTAGCTGGAAGACCCGACACCCACGGCCACCACCAGGTCCTGGCCCTACCAGCCAGCTGCCCCTCTCCTTCAAGGCTTTCCGGAGGGCAGGGCATGGAGACCCGCAGACAAGGGTGGGGAGCAGGGCAGGACCCCAGAGCTGCCAGCGTCCTCCGACCTCTGGGGTCATCTGGGGTCACCAGACATTCTGGTGCAGTAGGCATTTTCCTAGGATTTGGGCAGCTCCAAGTGGGGGCTTCCTATCGTGACGTACAATGAATTCTTCACATAGTTCTTTCACCTTCTTTTGTTTCTGAGGTTGGTAGCACTGTGCCTCTTTGGTTCTGATTGCTCTTTTGGCCAGCAAAGATTAGTCAGATTTGCTTATCTTTTTAAGCAGGATGCTGGTGGGTCACGCCTGTGATCCTAGCTACTCAGGAGGCTGAGATCTAAGGATGGTCGTTCAAGGCAGCCTGAGGAAGAAAAGTTTGTGTAGGATGCCATCTCTAAAATAACTAGCCAAAGCCAGGCTAGAGGTGTGGCTTCAGTGGCAAAGCATCAGTTGAGCAAGGAAGCTGTGTTAGCTGAGGACCTTAAGTTCAAATCCCAGTAATGCAACAAAAATTATTCATTTTCAAGTAACCAACTTTCAGTTCATTGATTTTCTCTATTGCTTTTATTTTTTTCCTGCATTATTATTATTTAATTATTTCTGCTCTGAAATTTTTCTTTTTGCTGGCTTTATGCTAGTTAGCTCTTCTTTTTTCTAGTTTCTCTGGGTGGAAGTTTAGATTTATGGTCTGAAGTTTTTTTTCCCACTTTTCACAGGAAGGCATCCAATAGCTATGAATTTCCCTCTAGCACTGCTTTGGCTGCATCCCTTCAGTTTTTTGTGCTTTTGTTTTGAATCATCTCAAAGTCCTTTTTTGTTTCCCTGTGAATTCTTTGCTGACCCCATATGTTTTTAGGAGGGTGCAGTTTGGTTTTTCATACAATTGTGACTTCCCCAATTTATTTTTTATTACTGTTTCTGATTCCTTCCCAAGAGGGGGGAAAGTACATTTCACAAGATTTCAAGCCTCTGATGTGCAACAAGACTTGTTCTCTGACGGGACATGTGGCCTGTCTTTTTTTTTTTTTTGGTAGGTCATGAGGCTTGAACTCTGGCCTTGGGTGCTGTCCTTGCACTCTTCAGCTCAAGGCAAGTGCTCTACCACTTGAGCTATGGCACCTCTTCCAGTTTTCTAGTGTTTATTGGAGATAAGAGTCTCACTCTTTCCTGCCCAGGCTGGCTTTGAACTGAGATCCTCAGATCTCAGCCTCCTGAGTAGCTAGGATTACAGGTGTGAGTCACTGGCACCCAGCTTAATGTGGCCTGTCTTGAGGACATTCCTGTGGGGTCTTCCAGTGGGTAGAGTCCTGGTGGGCGGGGCTCTTCTGCTGGTGGGCAGGTCCCTGCTGTTGGTGGGCGGGGCCTGCCAGTGGGCAGCGTGTTTGCTCCTGCCTCTTAGTCCTGGCTGCATTGAGGTGAGGTTATGTCTGCATGCTGCTTCTGTGTGGATCTCTGGATTGGTTCTGACCATTGGAGGTACCCCACAGCTCCCAGGAGCCTGGAGCTAGGAGAGTCCAGTCAGGCTGGGCTTGGGGCCTGATATCCTAGATGGAGACATACTTTGGAATACTGGAGCCAGGTTGAGTGACAGTCACCCTGTGCTTTGGGTCTCAGGCAGGACACTGGCTGGACACGCCCTGGCTTTGGGCACTCCCTGTGTCCATCCACATTGAGCTGCTGGGGCCTGGCCACCTGCTCCAGTGGCCAGGCTGGAAACAGGAAGATAGGATGGTTGGGGGCAGCCCCCCATTGTTAACAGTGACCCCCGCAGCAGGCAGCCCTGAGCACCTCCACACCCTCCACAGACACACATACTGCCTCTGGGCTCAGGGTCCCATCTGGAGAGGCCCTGGCTCACGGAAGCCAGGACAGAGCCAACACCCAGAGGTTTAAGGGGCATGATCCTCTCTGGCATGGCAGAGCCGGAGAGCAGCGTGTTCCTTTTGTTCCCTCCCAGGCCAGCTGCAGGCTGTCCAGCAGCTCTGCCACTTCTACAGCAAGGTGGTGCCCAACGAAGCCCAGTGTGTCATCTACCATGAGTTCCAGCTCACACTGGCCCGCAGGGTGGCCGACAAGGCATTGGAGGGTCAGCTCCTGGAGGCCATCAGCCAGCTCTACCTGTCTTTGGGAACCGAGAGGTAAGAGCACTGCCTGCATGGGGTGGAGGTGGCATGGAAGTCAGCCTTATCTGTGGACAGTCCTGACCCTTCGGGATGTTGGGTTTCATGACATCAGCTGAGTTCTGACCTGCCAGATGTATGAGTCCTGGCTCACCTGGGTAGATGAGGGATAGATGGTGGGTGGGTGGACAAATAGATGGGCAGATGGATGAATGCATGTGTAAGAGGAAGGGAGTATGGTTAGATAGATGAATAGATGGGTAAATGGATGGACTGATGGATGGGTGGATGGATGACTGGATGGATGGATGGGTGGGTGGATGGATGGATGGGTAGATGGGTGGATGGATGGTTGGATGGATGGATGGGTAGATGGATGGACGGATGGATGGGTGGATGGATGACTGGATGGATGGATGGATGGGTGGGTGGATGGATGGGTGGATAGATGAATGGATGGGTGGGTGAGTGGGTGAGTAGATGGATAGATGGATGCATGCAAGGTTGGGTAAGTGGGTGGGTAGATGGATGGATGGGTGGATGGATAGATGAGTGGATGGGTGGGTGGATGGATGGATAGATGGGTGGGTGGACGGGTGGATGGGTGGGTAGATGGATGGATGGATGTATGGATGAGTGGGTGGGTAGATGTATAGATGGGCGGATAGATGTATGGATGGGTGATGGGTGAATGTGTGGATGGATGGGTGGATGGATGGGTAGATGGGTGGATGGTTGGATGAGTGGATGGGTGGATGGATGGGTGGATGGATGGATGGGTGGATGGTGGGTGGATGGTGGGTGGATGGATGGATGGGTGGATGGATGGATGGATGGGTGTTGGGTGAATGGGTGGATGGATGGATGGATGGGTGGGTGGGTAGATGACTGGATAGTTAGGTGGATGGGTGGATGGATAGATGGGTGGGTGGATGGGTGGATGGATGGGTAGATAGATGGATGGATGGGCAGATGGATGGATGGGCAGATGGATGGATGGGTAATGGGTGAATGGGTGGATGGATGGGTTGATGAATGGATGGGTGGGTGGGTGAGTGGGTGGGTAGATGGATAGATGGATGGATGGGTGGATGGGTGGAGGATGGGTGGGTAGGTGGATGGATAGTTGGGTGGGTGGGTGGGTGGGTAGATATATGGATGGATTCATGGATGAGTGGGTGGGTAGATGGATGGATGGGCGGATGGATATATGGATGGGGGATGGATGAATGTGTGGATGGATGGGTGGATGGATAGATGGGTGGATGGATGGATGGATAGATGGATAGATAGGAGGATGGGTGAGTGGGTGAGTAGGTGGGTAGATGGATGGATGGATGCATGGGCGGATGGGTGGATAGATGGATGGATGGATGGGTGTGTGTGGGGGTGGGTGGATGGATGAATGGATGGGTGGATGGATGGACGGATGGACGGGTGGATGGTTGGGTGGGTGGGTGGATGGGTGTGTGTGTGGGGGGGGTGGATGGGTGAATGGATGGGTGGATGGGTGGATGGACTGGTGGGTAGGTGGATGGGTGGATGGATGGATGGGTGGGTGGATGGATGGGTGGATAGATGGATAGATGGGTGGATGGATGGGTGGGTGAGTGGGTGGATGGATGGATGGATGAATGGATGGGTGGGTAGGTGGGTGGGTGGCTGGCTGGCTGGCTGGCTGGATGGGGTGGTTAGGTAGGTGGATACACACACAGTTGGAAGGGAAGGCAGGCCTCTGGCTGGGTGACCAGCCTTCCTGACTCCACACTCACATTGACCCTAGAGTGTCTCACACCCCCCAGTTTCTGCCAGTTTCTGCCATGGTGGCTTCTGGGAGCAGACATTGGCCTGCTGAGTCTTCAGCTGCTGGCCAGACTCAGGATTGGAGTGATCTGGCCTTGTGTTGTCCCCAGACATGACCCCATGTGTTTCTGAAGCTTTGTGTTCCCAGAAAACAGGCTGCTGCCCCCCTGTGTCCCCAGGGCTGCACAGGGTGCAGAGACCCTGCCCCGGCCATGTGTCTGCATCACATGGTGTGAGCCACAGCAGTGTCCTGGCCAGCTGAGCCCCAAGTGGTGTCCCTGCATTGGACCCTGCTGGGAAGGAAGGGACCGCAGCCTGTCCTCAAGGGTGCAGGACAGGCGCTTGTCCTGGACCCACCCCAGGAGCCGACCTGGGTTCCGCTCTACAGCATGGACAAGTCAGAGAGCTTCTGTCCTATGTGTACGGTCCTTGCTGTCCAGAGAGGCACTGGCCGTGTTTGGGCCAGCGGGAGGGGGGAGTGGAGGGTGGAGGAGAGCACACAGTGGCCCCCACAGGGAGGCTGGTGTGGACAGCATTTCCCCCGAAGAGTTTTGTTTGTGTTTCTGTTCTGGGCCCCAGGTTTCATCCTGGCCTTCCGGCAGCCCGGAGGGCGACACGCGGCATGGGGCGGCACGCGGCACGCAGCACGCGGCATGCGGCAGAGGCCACACCATGCACTGCTGGCCGCAGTGGGACGAACCCAGGCCCGTCTCAGTGATCTCTCTCTCACATCTGCATCTGACTCCAGGGCCTACAGGTCAGCTCTGGACTACACCAAGCGGAGCCTGGGGATCTTCATCGACCTGCAGCGGAAGGAGAAGGAGGCGTATGCCTGGCTGCAGGCGGGGAGGATCTACTATATCCTACGCCAGAGCGAGCTGGTGGATCTGTACATCCAGGTGCGGCATGGGCAGGGGGCGGGGCTCACCTGCTGTCAGTCCACCCTCCCCCCATCCGCCCATCGGTCTACACCCAACATCCACTCACCCATCCATTTATCCATCCATCTATCCATCATCATTATCCATCCATTGTCTATGCATCTATCTATCCATCACCCCACCCATCCATCCACTTATCCATCCATCTCATCCACCCATTTTTTTTCTTTTTTCTTTCCTTCTTTCCTTCCTTCTTTCCTTCTTTCTTTCCTTCCTTCCTTCCTTTCCTTCCTTCTTTCTTTCTTTCTTCCTTTCTTCCTTTCTTTCTTTCTTCCTTTCTCTTTCTTTCTTGTCTTTTGTGGGGTTTGAACTCTGGGCCTGGGTGCTGTCCCTCAGCTCTTCAGCTCAGGGCTAGCACTCTACCACTTGAGCCACAGCACCACTTCTGGTTTTCTAGTCATTTATTGGAGATAAAGAGCTTCACAGACTTTCCTGCCTGGGCTGGCTTGGAACTGCAGTTCTCAGATCTCAGCCTCCTGAGTAGCTAGGATGACAGGCGTGAGCCACTGGTGCTCAGCTTCCACACATTTTTCTATCTACCCATCCATCCACTCACTCCCCACCCACCACCCATACGTATGTGCGTGCGCACACACACACACACACACACACTCACACACACTCTCACACACTCTCACACACACACACACACACACTCACATTCCAGAGCCACTTTTAAGCACCTAGCTGGGGTAAGTTACCGTTTTTCTGCCTTCTGGATGTGTATGACATTGTATATAATAGAGGCAGCAGGTGGGACGCACGCAGGACTATTCTGTCGTGTACAGATGATTTCACGTGGCCTGCGGTGGGAGGTCTCTCCCCATGACCCATGGCATCCCAGGGGCCGCCTCTTCCTCCCTCCTGCCCAGCTCCCTCACCGTCTCACCCCAGTGCCCAGCTTTGCCAAGAGCCATCTCAGCTGCCGAGAGCAGAGGGCCGGGTCCTCGCTGGCACATAGCAAGTACTCAGCCGACACGTGCGTTATCAGCACGCAGCACACTTATTTCATGTTTATATATTCCTTTTTGTGATGCCGGGTTTTGTACTTGGCCTTGCACTTCGCGGACCGGTGCTCCGCCTCTTAGATCATGCTCCAGCCCTTTCTACCTTATTTTACAGATAGGATCTTGCTTTCCTTTTGCCAGAACTAGAGTAAACTTGTATTCCCCGCACTTACGTTTCCTGTGTCGCTGGGCTCTCAGGTGTGCACCATGTCACCTGGTTTTTGACAGGGGGAGGGGGTTTCACTGACTTTTGTCCAGGCTGGCTTCAAACCATGATCCTCCAGGTTTCCGCCTCCCGATATGCTTGGATTACGGGATGGATCGCGCGTTTGTTTGAAAAGATCCGCAAGTCAAGAAGCAGCGTTGAGATGCTTCTCTATACACAAAGTGATTTGGGCAAACATGGAGGCGCTGGAGGTTTTGTGTGGGCAGCACTGCCCACTTCATCCCTGCCAGACACAGCCGGGGGTGGCTGGCCGGGGAAAGAGCAGGCACGGCGGCTGACCGGGCTGTGGGGGTCAGGACGAGGGGCTGGAGCCCGCTGTGGGAGGAGGGGTCTGGCCACCAGGACTTGAGGGGCAGAAGCCCAGGGGTTGGCAGCCTGAAGCTCCCCTCGGAGCTGTGGGACGTCTGGTCTGGCCGAGCATTGAGAGGACCCCGCTTTTGTCACTGAGTCATTACTGGGCACCGACTGCACGGGACACGGCAGGACAGGGGCGTGGGAGCAGGACGAGGTGGCCTGGAGGATGACAGGAGGGCAGGGCCGGGCTCTGCCCTGCTCACCTCCGCAGCCTGCACCTGCTGCGCTCCAGGCCTCTGCTGGCCCCCAGCCTCTGCTGGCCCTGGCCTCCACTGGCCCCGGCCTCCGCTGGTCCCCCGGCCTCCACTGGCCCCAGCCTCTGTTGGTCTCCGGCCTCCGCTGGCCCCGGCATCCGCTGGCCCCGGTCTTTGCTGGCCCCCTGGCCTCCACTGGCCCCCAGCCTCCGCTGGCCCCTGGGCCTCCACTGGCCCCAGCCTCCGTTGGTCCCCGGCCTCCGCTGGCCCCTGGCCTCCACTGGCTCCCGCTGCAGGCACACAGGGTTGGGTGCAGCCCCCTCCTCGGCTGCTCTGTCCAGAGCTTCTGGATCCTTGCAGGTGGCACAGAACACAGCCCTGTACACGGGCGACCCGCACCTGGGGCTGGCGCTGTTTGAGGCAGCCGGAGACATCTTCTTCAACGGCAGCTGGGAGCGAGAGAAAGCTGTGTCCTTCTACAGGGTGAGGGGCGCTGCGGCCACCACGTGGGACCAGGCCGGCTGCCCCCGGCGGACCCAGGCATGAGGGTGGCGGGGGGAGGCTTGATCTCTTGGGGTGGCCGCCACGCCACTCCGTGACCCCCCTCAGGGGAGCGGACCCGAGACCCCTGACCGCCTCACACTGCCCTCAGGGGATTTAAAGCTCCCTGAGAAGGAAGTCCCGCCTCCATCCTGCAGATGAGCAAGCTGAGGGCAGAGGGGCGCGGGACAAGTCAAAGGACACACAGTGGACCTTGCTCCTCTCTCCTCCCGAGCTGGCCAGGCGCTGCTGGGCCCCGGGTGCACATGAGTGCGCACCCGGGTGGCGGAGGGGCGGCTGAGGCCTCCAGTGTGCTCACGGGTGGACATCACCCAGGTTCCAACATGCGCCCCGGGACCCCTGGACCGCCCTTTCTCCTGGGCACACAGGCCCCATGGACGGAGGAAGAAGGGGAAAGCTCCTGGAGCATGGCGTCTAGAGGGACTTCACGGGGCGTGGCGTGGCGTGCGGGGCCTGGGGTGGGGACCTCACCCCTCCCCCTCTGCGTGCTCAGGACCGGGCGCTGCCGCTGGCCGTGGCGGTGGGGAAACGGGAGGCGGAGCTGCGGCTGTGTAACAAGCTGGCTGCACTGCTGGCCGCGCTGGGCACCCCCCAGGAAGGCCTGCAGTTTGCCCGTGAGGCTCTGGCCCTCAGCATCGCCCTGGGTGAGTACCTGTGCCCATCCCAGGCTGCAGGACAGCTCTGCCGGCCTGCCCCAGCTGGCCCTGCCAGCCTCCCACAGTCTGGGCCCCGCTCTGGGGGAAGCAGAGCTCCTCAGCCTCCTCCCCTTACCAACTGGAATGCCGGCCACCACGCCCCTCGGGCCCTGCACGCCAGGCTGGCCTCCATGGGCCACTCTCTCCCCTGTCCCTTCCCTGCGTTCTCCAGCTGGGAAGATACTTGTCCCTCTCCTCAGGGCTGTCCCTAGTGCCAGGGGTCCCTGTGTCCCAAGCCTGTGCTGCACGGGGGGGGGGGGGGGGGGCCTGATCCTCGGCATAGACAGCATGGGGTGGGGTGATGGGGCCTGGTGTTCCAGCCCTGCCCAGCAGAAGGCGCACGACCAAGTTCACATGAGTTCTGTGCGGGATCCATGTACTGGGGGGGAGGGGGGGAAGGGGGAGGCTGCCGGAGGTCACAGAGGCTGCCCAAGGTCACAGAGGCCGGCTGCCCATCTGCAGGAGAAGTTGCTGGGGTTCTGACACACTTAACTCTCCAAGGCTGGGGCCATACTGACCAGAAGCCCAGGTAGGGGTCACTACCAGGCCTGCAGGTTGATCTGAGCCCCATGCCTGGGAATTAGAGTATTAGAGCACGTGCATGCACACACATATGCATGCACACGAATATGCATGCATGCACACACACATACACATGCATGCACACACACATACACATGCATGCACACACACATCTCTGAGGCTCCATGCAGGCTGGGGCTGAGGAATCCAAATTCCCCACTGCCAAACCCCACAGTGGAGGAGAGTGGTGTGTAAACCCATTGCACAGATGTCTAGTCAGGTCTCAGGACGGGGAGTGGCCACAGCCACAGCCACGACCGCACCGTGTGCGTCTCGGTGCGTGGTCTCCGCTGGTGATGCCCTGCCTGCCCACGGGGCCGCGTCCTCTACCTGCCCCTCCGTCCGCGCCCCAGGTGACCGGCTGAACGAGCGCGTGGCGTACCACCGGCTGGCCGCCCTGCACCACCAGATGGGCCACAGCGAGCTGGCAGAGCACTTCTACCTCAAGACCCTGTCGCTGTGCAGCTCGCCCCTGGAGTTCGAGGAGGAGACGCTGTACTACGTGAAGGTGTACCTGGTGCTCGGCGACCTCATCTTCTACAACCTGAAGGTGGGTGAGGGGACCCCAGGGGCGGGGGGTTGCCCAGGGCCCAGAGCCCGGCCTGCCAGGGTGAGGCGTCTGTGCCAGGGATTCTGGGGCGGCCAGGCAGGCAGGCAGCACTGTTACCATCCCGATTTCTCCATCTGCCTGCTCTCCAGCCCTCCGGGGCTTCAGAGCTGAACGCACGTGGACGGGGCTGCTCTCCGGCCCTTTCCCCAGCAGACGCCCTGCACCTCCCAGCCGGGGCTCCCGCTGGCTGGGGGGGCCAAGTGCCCAGTTCAGAGGCTGCACCCCAGGTCCCCTGAAAGACTGTGAGCTGGAAGGAAGGGGTGGCGGGGCACCCACCCTTACCCCTCACCCTGCCTGGGCATCTCTGGACTGCAGGTGACACCTAGTGGTCAGAAGTGGTCCCTGCAGCTGTCCCCCACTGTGAGCACCCTGGCTGGCTCCCTGTGACGCTGGGGCCAGGGCCTCAAGGAAAGAGGCCTGCTTCCCTCCATCGTCCCACCTGCCCGCCCAGCAGAGGACGTAAAGGGTTGGACAGCCGTGGAGAGGCCAAGGTTCAGGGCCAGACTCAGGGTCAAGGGGAAGAGAGCTCACTTCCCCCCCCTGCTCCTGGCCTGGCCTAGCCTTGACCCACTGTCAGCAGCCCAGTGCCCCCAATACCTGTAGCATGACCTTAGATGCCCCTTGCCCTGGAATGCTGCCTGGGGGCAGCCAGGGCCTCTAACGGGGTCATTCTTCATTGCACACAGCCCAGGCTCAGTGCAAGTCCTGACCTGCGTCATGCACGCACACACACACACACACACACACAGACACACACACACACAGGCACACACACATACACCCCTGATCCTGTGAGCTCTGTTTACAGGTGTTCCCAGCCCAGCTACACAAGGCTGAGGGGCGGGTGTCTGGGAAGCGGCGGGCGGCTGCCTGGTGCTGGGTGTGGCCAGGGCTGGGCTGGGGCTAATTCAGATCCCTGGGGGGCTCCCTTGCCTGGCAGCACCGGGCCAGGGGTTGGCCAGTCCGCCCAGCCCGTAGCCTGGGGATGGACCTCAGCCTGAGGAAAGCCACACGAGCCCTGGGAGGGGTGAGGGGGTGGGGGGAAGGCTGGTGTGGAAGGCTGAGGCCCGGGGCCTGGGAACCTGTGGGAAGAGAGTCGCCAACACTGCCAAAATGCATGAGCAACACCGCAACACCAAGGAGACTCATTGTGCACGGCATCAGGAAGCCACGGTGAACGCGCACGCAGCACAGGGACCCAGTGATCCTGGGCACAGGAGTCACCCCTGGGGACAGGCCTCTCCTCCCTGTGAGCCAGAGCCCACTGGGCTCACGCGGCCTCCGCCCCCTCAGGACCCGTTTGACGCGGCCGGGTACTACCAGCTGGCCCTGGCTGCGGCTGTGGACCTGGGCCACAAGAAGGCCCAGCTGAAGATCTACACGCGGCTGGCCACCATCTACCACCACTTCCTCGTGGACCGCGAGAAGTCGCTCTTCTTCTACCAGAAGGCCAGGGCCTTTGCCGCCGAGCTCAGCGTGCGCAGGGCTCACCTGCTGCCTCAGCGCCTCTACAGCGGCTGCCCCTGGCTGGTCCCCGACCCACGCCCTGACCCGTGCCCCAGCCCCCGACCCCCGCCCTGACCCGGGCCCCAGCCCCCGACCTCCGCCCTGACCCGGGCCCCAGCCCCCGGCCCCCGCCCTGACCCGTGCCCCAGTCCCCGACCCCTGCCCTGACCCGGGCCCCAGCCCCCGGCCCCCACCCTGACCCGGGGCCCAAGCCCCTGGACCCTGCGCCTAGCCCTTCGAGGAGCCAGAAGCACAAAAGAAGCATCTGAGAGCAATAGAGTGTTTTGTTTCAGCAACCTGCGGGGGTCTCCAAGGCACCCTTCCTAGCTCTGCACCCCAGGGCCCAGGGCCAGCACCCCTCCCTCCAGCCCTACACCCCAGGGCCCAGGGCCAGTCCCCCTCCCTCCAGCCCTGCACCCCAGGGCCCAGGGCCAGCACGCCTCCCTCCAGCCCTGCACCCCAGGGCCCAGGGCCAGCACGCCTCCCTCCAGCCCTGCACCCCAGGGCCCAGGGCCAGCACGCCTCCCTCCAGCCCTGCACCCCAGGGCCCAGGGCCAGCACCCCTCCCTCCAGCCCTGCACCCCAGGGCCTGCACCCCATCACTCCAGCCCTGTACCTCAGGGCCAGCACCCCTCCCTCCAGCCCTGCACCCCAGGGCCCAGGGCCAGCCCCCCTCCCTCCAGCCCTGCACCCCAGGGCCCAGGGCCAGCCCCTGCCTGGGTGAAGCAGCCTCTTGCCGAGGACTCAGGGGAGGACTGAGCTCACAGGCCTGGCCCAGGTCCCTGTCCCCGGCCTTTTATTTCTGGGGTACGCTTGGACACACCGCCGTGGGAGATGGAGGTGGCCTCCGGGCAGGTCTGCAGGGGCTTTGGCCCCTCACCCCTCTCTCCTGTCTAGCACTGTTCTTGCCTTTCCTCTTTGAACACCCTGGTGAGAGGAGGCCGGGACCCTTAGCGCCCATCTGTAGTAGAAGACCAGAGAGCAGCCTCAGTCACAGCTCAGTGTCCTGACGGCTGGCACTCAGGGATGAAGCTCCAAACCCAGTGCAGTGGCCCCTCCACCCCCGTCAGCCTGCCTGGGGGACCCCCAACCCCACCGCCCACCTGGGGGACCCCCAACCCCACCGCCCACCTGGGGGACCCCCAACCCCACAGCTGTCCTGGGGGACCCCCAACCCCATTGCCTACCTGGGGGCCCCCAACCCCACTGCCCACCTGGGGGACCCCCAACCCCACCGCCCCCCTGGAGGGACCCCCAACCCCACCGCCCCCCTGGAGGGACCCAACCCCATCGCCCACCTGGGGGACCCCCAACCCCATTGCCCACCTGGGGGACCCCCAACCCCATCGCCCACCTGGGGGGAGACCCCAACCCCACCGCCCACCTGGGGGACCCCTAACCCCACAGCTGTCCTGGGGGACCCCCAACCCCATTGCCTACCTGGGGGCCCCCAACCCCACCGCCCACCTGGGGGACCCCCAACCCCACCGCCCACCTGGGGGACCCCCAACCCCATCGCCCACCTGGGGGACCCCCAACCCCACCGCCCACCTGGGGGACCCCCAACCCCACCGCCCACCTGGGGGACCTCCAACCCCATCGCCCACCTGGGGGGATCCCCAACCCCACCGCCCACCTGGGGGACCCCCAACCCCACAGCTGTCCTGGGGGACATGTCAGCTGTTACCATAAGGCCTCAAGAGTGTATCTTCAGGGCTGGGAAGGTGGCTGAGTGGTAGCGTGCTTGCCTGGCATGCATAAAGCCCTGGTTCAATTCCTCAGTACCACGTACACAGAAAAAGCCAGAAGTGGCACTGTGGCTCAAGTAGTAGAGCGCTAACCTTGAGCAAAAGAAGCTCATGGACAGTGCTCAGGCCCTGAGTTCAAGCCCAGGACTGGCAAAAAGAAAAAAAGTTTCTTCAGCTTCTGTACCCTCCGGCCCGCTGGCCAGGGAACCGAGAGCTGCCCGCTCTGTCCTCCAGCGCAGGGCTTGGCTGGTCCACCTGCTACCCGGGACGGCCCGCAGGAAGCCAGGGGTGGCCTGCTGCCCAGGGGTGTGAAGGCCAGCCTCGCCCTGCTCTGCCCAGCCATCATTCCCCTGCAACCCCGCCAGCCAGCATTTCCAGCATGTCCTGCCCTAGAACGCTGGGTCCCATGTCTCCTTACCAACCGCCAGACGTGCCCCTGGGAGAGGAGGGAGGCTGCAGCACACGGTTCGGGCCCACTGTGCTGCCCCGCTCCTCTGACTGACATGTTAAATACGGCGAGACCCGCCGCAGCTACAACTATGTAGTGGGCACCACACTTGTCCGGGAGCCGGCCGGGAGCTCACGCCTGGAATCCTAGGAGGCTGAGATCAGAGGATCACAGTTCAAAGCCAGCCTGGGCAGGAAAGGCCATGAGACTCTCATTTCTAACGAAGCACCAAAATAGCCACAAGCAGAGCTGTGGCTCGAGTGGTAGAGCCTGAGCCTTGAGCACAAAAGCTCAGGGACAGCATCTTGGCCCCCAGTTCAAGCTCCAGCCCAGGCACACAAACAAAGGCCATCTCGTGGTGTCGGTGGGTTCACACTGGGGGCCTCCAGACTCCTCCTCGTCTCCTCCTCTGCACCCCTTTAACAGAGGGGGCCGGGTGGAGAGCCTTGCCCTGAGGTTCAGTGCCCTGTGACCATGCAGAGGGGGCCAGCCTCCCCAGCAGGGAGCAGCAGAGAGTTTTCTAGAAGCAGCCTGGCCTGAGTGTGGAAGCAGTCTGTCTGCAAATGGATGGGCCTGGTGTTGCACAGTGGGGTTTGGGGGGGGGGGGGCGCCAGGGGCGGGGAAGGGGTGCCAGGGGCGGGGAGGGGGGAGGGGGGCTCCGATGCTGAGGTTCTCAGCCTGGGCTTGGCTTGGGGTGCATTGGAACGTGAAATGCAGGACGCTGGGGAGGGATGGCTCTGAGCTCCAGGCCTTTGAAGGGGCTGAGGCTGCCCCCATGGGTCACGCAGGCTGTGGTGGGCGGCTTCCCACCAGCCCCGCGAGGGGCGGGCGGGGCCGGCAGGCTGCAGCGGGGATCTGGGTCCTGCTCGGCTCTTCCAGCGGGGCGGGTGTGGGGTGATGGATGGGGTGCAGCCCTGCGGCGAGCGGGCTGGCTGCCCAGAGCCCAGAGCAGGGGCTGTAGAGGGAGGCGCCCGGCTCCCCACGCCCATCCAGCCGCCCCCCTGCGCTCATGGGCAGCAGGTCTGCAGCACACAGTGCCCGTGGCTTGCCGCACCAGACACGGGCCCAGCCAAGGGCGCCTGGGGTGAATCCACTCCTCTGGGGTTCCCTGCTGAACCCAGGCACGCAACCCAGTCCACCCCAGCACCCCGACGCAGCCCCCTCCACCCCCAGCACCCCAACACGGCCCCCTCCACCCTAGTACCCCGACGCAGCCCCCTCCACCCAGCACCCCGACACGGCCCCCTCCAACCCTCCACCGCCAGCACCCCAACACGGCCCCCTCCACCCCAGTACCCCGACGCAGCCCCCTCCAACCCAGCACCCCAACACGGCCCCCTCTACCCCAGCACCCCAACACGGCCCCCTCCACCCCAGCACCCCCAGCACCCCGACACGGCCCCTCTACCCCCAGCACCCTGATGCGGCCCCCTCCACCCCAGCACCCCGACGCGGCCCCCTCCACCTCAGCACCCCGACACGGCCCTTCCACCCCAGCACCCCCAGCACCCGACACAGTCTCTCCACCCTCCCTGGAGTCCTTGTCACTCTCTGTCCTGGATTCATCCAAGGGACAAATGGTCAGCCGGTCTCTCATATCCCTGGGCTCGGAGGGGGTGGAGGGAAGGCTGTGGCAGGGCACGCAGCACAACCACACGCCCAGTGCCCTCTGCGGCGGCAGCAGTGGCGGGCTGCGGGCTGCGGGCTGTGGGCTGCGGGCTGCGAGCTGCGGGCTGCGGGCTGGTCTAGCAGTGAGGAGGACACAGGGAGACGCCTCCCTGCGGCGCGGGCTTTGGGGGGGACGGGCTCAGCTGCCTGGCTCTGTGTGCTGCCCTGTGTGGGGCCAGGCATCACCCAGCCTGGCCTCGGGGCCTGGGTGGGCCTGGGGCGCTGCTGTGAGGGGCGCCGGGGCCTGTGGGCCTCAGGCGCTGCCGGCCCCGGCCTGGCCTGGCCTGTGCCTGCGCTGCTGTGTCTCTGAGAGTCCTGTCCCTGGCCGGGCGCCACAGTTCACAGCCTCTGCCACCTGGGGCTGCAGGCCAGTGCGGGGTCAGTGTCCCCACAGCCAGCAGGCGGCTCCTCTCCTGTGAGCTCGCCTGTAGGCTGAGGTCACCGGGACCCATCCGTCCAGGGGCTGCTGGGCAGGAGGAGGGGGTGCAGTCTCCTTGCCTGCCCCCAGAGCCTCAGGGACTCGGGAGGCCCCCCCTTCCCCCCCCACACCCCGCCTCAGGACCTCTGCCATCACACCTGCCATCGCATCTGTGTCTGTGGACGGCCCCATGAGCCACTGCCTCACGCTGGACAGCTGCCTCCAGTCAGGGCCAGCAGGGAGGCCCCGCAGAGTGGGTCACGGAGCGGGGAGGCGGGCACGCCCTTCCCGGCACGTCCACATCCCTGCCAAGGAGGCCGCGTGAGGCTGACCGAAGCTGTGTCCAGAGCTCTGGACGGACTCAGGGCCGGGAGGAGGGCCGAGATCTCCCCACGTCTGCCCTGACCTCTGGGGACAGCCCTGCTCCTGGGGAAGAGCCGGAGAGGCCGGAGGCCTGGCCCCCACCATCTCAGCCACCCCTGGTGAGTGCTACCCAGTTCCAGCCAGTGCCACATGGACAGAGGCGAGGAAAGCCCGGTGCAGGCCCCGGGTGGGCAGGCCCCGGGTGGACAGGCTCCCGTGCACCCACCACAGCTGTGCCTGGAATGGCAGTGCGCAAGCCTGAGCAGATGAGATTCCTCCACACGTGTTTAAGGATGGGCATCACACACTCCCGCCAGAGCCGAGGGCATCGGTGCCCCACGCGCCCTGACCGCTGCCCAGCCGCCCGCCCAGGCCCTGCAGCAGAAGGAAGAAGAGGCCAACGGAAGGTCTGCGACAGACGCGAAGGGCC